GTGAGTCTTCTAGCAAGTCTGGATTGAACGACCAGGTCGCGTGCGACAGGCATTATTTGACTGCTTAACATTCTAGACCACTTTATTCACGCCCACCTTCGATCTTCATGATCTTGTGCTTCTATCAGATCGCATTGGGTGGAGGACGAGATAGTGACGTAGATGCTTCGCAAGTCGGCTCCCTTAAAAAAAATTCACGGTTTCAACTATCCTCTTAGGCGATGGCGAGCCTTGTAGCTTGCATTTGTTCACCCTCTTGTTGCCAATGCTTTAATTTTGCGCAGAAGGGCTGGTTGAAGAGGATACACGGTGTTAGCAGCCTCCGCTATTATAGGCAGCCCGAATATAGGCATTTTTCGCATTTTTCCGCTGCAGTTGGAAGCTTTTAAGTTCCACTCAATATGAAAAGCAGCGGACTTTTCCCCTTGGAATGTAATCTCAACTATTTGCTAAAGTAACTGCCTGTTAACAGGCGCCAGTTCACTCGCGTTTGTTCAGCGATAGGGCTATCAAGGCTAGGTACTTTTGTGTCACAAAGCGGCATCGCTTACCCAACTGGTCTTTTGATAATTCCGCAACAAATTATTCGAATAGTTTTTTCCGGAGGCAAAAATGGACATGCAACAAATATGCTATCTCATGCAATGCTGACTGAAATTGCGAAATGGGCTTTCAGTTCGGACAGAGTACATAAGTGAGGACAAGCTCTCGAGTGTTTTAAATGTGTCCTAAATTCGGAAACTGTTTGTCTTTCGTCCTTGAGGTAAAATCTGCAGAAGTTTTATAATAACAAACTTTCTATTCTCTATGGAAGTGAGAACATTAATATTTTCCTTATTTCTAAGTTAGCGTGGACGTTTAAAACTCCTAAATTCTTAAAGGCATAAATGTTTAAACTTCTGAGAAAAAGTTAACTCTTGACCCTTTTGTCATCATTTCCTGTGAGCGTTAATTTTTTGAACATCTCTGTCGTTTGAGGCAACACCATAAGGAAGCAGAAGGAACGATAAGATGTGTTAGTGCACATTAAAAGTGATGTGGAACCGAAAGGATGTCCTTGGGGGAAAACGAACAATGCCTTCCATGTTCAGAACCTCAAAAGCAATCGCTCCCTTCAAAAGAAAAAGGCTACATACTGACGCTCTACGGCCGTGTTAGGACACAGAGTAGTTAACTGGACGATATCTACAAAGACGCTTCACATCTAACAAACACTCCAAAGGTTTTTTCAAAAATGTCAGCGAAAAGCCAACGGAAGAAAACCTGGAAATGAGGCTCGAGCCGAAGTACTGGCGCTGGAGTATCCTAAAATTACGCCAACCTAATTGGTGAACCAGGGGTGTGTAGCACAGAGGTTGCAAACACTAACAACTCGTGCATCCAAAGACCCCATTTACAGTGACTAACAATCCGCCGTTATTTGTCACATTTAACGCAAACGCGGAAAGGACGCATAAGAACGGTAACACAAAGGGTCTCTGAGACCCGCTTATTCATCCTCTCCGGACCACAACTTCGCTTCGGAACGTGCGTCGAATGTAGGAAGTTTGACATGAATAGATTATCTAGTCAACAGTTCGCCAACCTACAACCGACATACAAAGTGTTGCAACAACAAATCAGTGGGATTTTTATAGGTCACTCTCAGATGAAATGTTTGGGTTGCAACCAAATTGTAATTTTTTAAAAAGATGTAGCTGTTGTAGGAAGAGGGTTAGTTTCCTGGTGTTTCGAATGCACACTCGACCTTATAATCAGAGGTAGCAACAACATCCTCTGAGTATCTTATTTGTGGTCCGTCGAATACCCTTGTCAGTAACCGCCACTGATGACGGGCTCAGGCGTGAATCCGAATCGTCAGGCGTCTCCATCTTCTGAATTGTTTCCTGAATTGTGCCTGAGTAAGAGATTTAGTATCTTCTGAAAAACGTTTGAAACCTAGAAATTATTCTTTTCTCTCCGTCTACGAAACTAACTGGACATTTCACGTTTACTACTACTTGATATCCTATGCATGCATTAGGTAGCTTAATTCTCTAAATATGTGTAAATTCACAAACGTCTCTGCTCATTCCATCACTGGTCTAGAGTTGTCGACCAAACTTCCTAGTTAATAATGAACGACATTCAGTTAAATAAAAATACGAAGAATCAATGAAAGCAATACTACCCTAGTAAAAGTGGTGAAAACTTGTATAAAAATCAAAAATTCAGGAAGCGCGAGAATAGCGTGCCAAGTG